GTAGTACGGCTTCTTGCCGTGGCCGTCGCCGGGCTTGGGCTTCCTGTCCTCCCCGGGCAGTGCGCGCGGGGACGGCTCCTCGTAGGCCCGCGCCGGGTCGCGCCTGCCCGCCTCCAGCGCCATCTTCTCCCGCATGGCCTTGGCGCGCTCCGTCTCCAGGGCGATGGCCTTCTCCAGGAGCGTCAGGTTGCCCTTGGTCATGTCGAACACTTCCTCGGACCGGTCCGAGGCCACAGAGGCGGTGTCGTCGTCCCGGTCCGGGAAGCCGTCCTCCTTGGCGCAGCTGGGGAACGTCCGCGCCCGGGGGCTCAGCTGCTCCTCCAGCCTCATCAGGTTCACCATGTCGGAGTAGCTGCGGTCGGGCGTGCGGCCGGCGCCCTCATCCTCGGGCCGGCCGTGGGGGCGCAGCCCCGGGCCCTGCGGCGGCCCCCGCTCCTGCGGGCTGCTCTCGCTCAGCTTGCGGGCCAGGTCGAAGCACTGGTTGCGCAGGCACTCGAGGCTGCTCAGGCAGACCTCCTCGTCGCTCTCCTCCACTGCCTTCTCCACCAGCCCGTTGTTGCCCGGCTTGCCCAGCACCACGTAGCCCAGGCCCCGGCCATCCTGCTGGGCCAGGGGGTCGGCATAGCCGCGCTCGCCCGCGCCCTCCGACAGCACCACGCCGTGGCCCTGTGCCAGCAGCTTCAGCGAGTCCACGGTCTCCCGCACCACGTCGCTGTCCAGGTCGAGGCTCAGCTCAGCCTTGCGGCCCAGGGGCTCGCTCCGGTCGCTGTCGGCCCCCAGGCTGTGGGACGTGTTGCTGTTCATCTCTGACTCGGTCCTGGCCCGGAAGGCCGCGTCCTCGGCGATCTTGCCGAGGTTCAGCAGTGACTTGGCCACCAGCTCGTCGTAGTTGTCGTACTCCTCCTCCTCGGGGCCATCCTTCTCCGCAGCCTGCGCCAGCCGGGCGTTGTGGCCGCCCGTGGGGTGGTCCTCTACAAGGAAATACAAGAGAGGACAAGAAAGGAGAGAACAGAAAGAGGTGGCTCGCACGGGCTCAGCTGGCAAGCCCCGGGCCGCAGGTCGGAACGAGACCTCACGGGTGCAGAGGCCTCTGCTCGGGAGCTGTCTTCCCCTGACCCCCGCCCCGTCACCCTCAGGGGCCCCCCAAGTCGCCATTTTGACAGTGGCTGCCCCTGCCTCTGGCCGGCCACAGTGGTCCCCTCGCTGGCAGCCTGGACGCCACCTCAGCCCCATGAGCACGCCACAGCCTCCCCTACAACGCGCCTGGCACGAGCAGACCCATGGTGTGGCCCAGGCATCACGAGCAAAGCTCAGGTCCGGGACAGGCCACAACCACCCAGGCAGGCCCCGTCAGAGCCCAGGCGAGGGCAGGTTACTTGACCTGGCTGGAGGCGCTGACCACATGCCACAGGTAAGCCTAGGGTGCTCTACCCAGGTCAGGGTAGGGCTGACCTGGTCACCGGGACCTAGCGTGCCTCCGGGGTGAGGTGCAGGGGCCACGGGGCCCAGGAGCGCAGGGTACGTGCCAGTGGGCAAGATCACATGCCTGAGCTCATGGCCAACCTCAAAGAAGCGTCTAGAAGAACTCAGCAGCATGGAGACCACGTGTGAACGGCCGGAGCCACCTGCTTCACCAGAAATATCCCTTGGCCACTAAGGGGGCTGGGGCCTGGGCTTGCCCCAGGCAGGATCCCGCAAGAAGGGCGGTGCCCACCAGCAGTCCCGCACGGCTCCACAGGCCACATCACCCCTCTTCACTTCTGTGACTAAAGACCATGAACCCCTGTCCAGATGAGGCGTATTGATGAGCAGAGTGGGCCCGGCATGGCCTGGACTTGGGCTGAGGCTGTTTCCCCAATCAAGCCACATGTCCTGGTGCTAGGTCCAGGAGCAGCCCGCGAGGAGGTATGGGGAGGGGATGCGGCCTCGGGACCTGGAGGAGGGAGCGGAGCCACCATGCCTTCACGCTGCTCCCACAGGGAGGTGGAAGGGCGCCTAGGTGCCAACCAGCACAGCAGGCACCTGTGCGCAGGCCTGGTGCGGTGCCGACTGCCTGATCACAGCTGCCCACACATGGCTCTGGACACGGCTGCCTCAGAGCAGGACGAGGGCTGGACTGCTGTTTGTGAAGTCCAGGTGGTATGTGGGCATCTGGCCAGGAAGCCCCCTGTGGCGGCTCCGGGTCTGGGTCCCTGTCTCTAGGGGCCAGGATTGTGACGGTGGGTGGCCGGGGAAGTGGGGCTGTAACTGGAACCAGGCAGTCAGCAGTAGCAGTGGCAGCACAGGGCTGTTATCTCCCTGGGGCTCCACCACAGTGACATGTGGCAGTTGCTCCTCAGAGCCCTTTTATGTATGGCGCACTTGGATTGTGGAATGAACCAATCAGGTACGAGCTATGAGCTGATTGGTGCTCAAGGGTCCAATCAGACTGTTGTCACCAGGACCCAGCTCTCACCACAGTCAGTT